GTACTCACAATATCACCGTAAAGCTGTCAATGCTGAGCTCGGTGATACCCTTAAAGAGGAGCGTTTTTGTGGGGCATGGGATTCACGACTTTGGTTGCAGCCTCCGAAGGCCAATTGTGAAGCCCGGGGAGGAGAATGCCGTTGACATCTACATGAAAACCCTGTCCAGAGTACGAATTCAGCTTCTAGGTCCCTCCGGGTCCATCACAAAACAGGATATTGACGAGCGTGAGTTAGTTATTTTTTTAAATAAGGAGCTTTTAGTATTTCTTCTTCATGACTATTTATTTTGCTTAACACTTTGAACGTTTGTAGAGACCCTGCTTCCAACATCCGTTACTACACGAAGCTTCGGTTTGACGCATGTTTGTATGCATTGATGAGAATTTGTTCGTTCGTTAGAAGAAGAAGAAGGTCTGATCGATGGAGTGGGGCGTTAAATGCCCTGCCTTTTCGGATTCTTGTTCGAACCTATCATCAAAAACAGTCGCAGATAAGGGTGGTGATGGCACCACGGGTGCCGTATTTCTAGAATTCACTTGTGGGCGAAAGGATCACCGGTAGAAGTTGATTTTGACTGAGTACTTAAATGCCTACTTAATATATTTCAAGAGCGTAGTTTTGATTTGCTTAGAGGTTTTTTGATTTGACTCAGTGCAATAGCCCGATTGGTTTAGGACTGGAGTGGATTGGCAAGGCTGCTACAAAATCCTCACCTATCATTTCATTTGCGAGAGGCAACAGTTACAGAATCGATACATACACATATATCTTAGCTGAGGGAGCTAGAAGTGATAGATGGGTTGCTGTCATGCGGCTACGTGCCTAATCCAAATATCAGATACCGCATTCATCGCTGGTGGTCTTACCCACTTGCTAGTTAGTCTGCCTTCGATTCTTTAGTGATCGAAATTCCATGACCAACCTCGCTTCTTCTTGGGATTATGACTCGTCAATGTGGCTCCCTGTCACTGGAAACGTTGGCAGCCCGCGGCCTCCCTTTCTGACTAATTACTCTGCCTATGAAATGTCTCATCACAGAATATGGAGCCGCGACGTCCATGCGCTGATTAATCCACTGCAGGCTATAAACCAGGCCTCGGGCAGTTGACGGTTCAGGCGATTATTACTCTTGCAATAACGTTAGCCTCTTGAATCTTAAAGGCGTGGCCGGGTCTCATCGCGTGAGCCGCGGCCTGCGAGTTACCATCCTTCCTTCTCATTGCTTGTGTTGCTGCTGCATGCTCGGTCATCCGTAGTCTTCCAGCTTCCCCGACGTATTTGCTTCATCTGCAACTACATCCGATTCAGTAAAGAGAAGTGGTACTTCGTGGGGTCTCAGAAGGGTCCTTGTGTAATATAACCACCTGTTTGCACATTTAAGCAGGATGAATTCCACAGTCTTCTTCACTCGTTCGCTTTTATTCTAGTTGGGGTTGGTGGTACTACTAGAAAATGTATTTCAGTGACCTCGCCCGAGGTCAGGGCACACTCCCGCGACATACACGCGCTTGCCGTTGGTCCGAGGGGGGTTAGCGATGATAGTAAAGCGTACTCCAGTTTCTCCGCCCGAGATTTGAGTACGCGTTCTGTATCAAGATCGGTGAACTCGCCTCCATCATGAAGTTTGCCAGGCTGCAAATTCAGCGAATGAATTTTTCGCAGTTATTTCACGAACTCTTCCTCTCCGTTATCCCTCCTGATTCCCTATCGTCTTTGCATACTAAAATTACTTATAAAAAACTGACAACTAAACTGCAGACCGATGGGCGTCCGACATTTTCTCTAAATATACTGATTGATTGATAATCTAGATGTAGTAGGAGATTTGGCAGATTTGCTTAGTTTGAGTGGACCAAATTGCGAAAAAACTCGAGGCGTTCGGCGGTATTTGAACCTGCGTATTAGAGAAGGCCTTTACCAGAAGCCAACACTCTAACCGCTAAGCTACAAATGTCCCACCCCGAGCGCTTGGAACTTAATCACCCTTGGGTCGATATTACCCAACCAAT